GGGGAAGGTTGTACATCCACAAAAACACATGCCAGGTGCTATGTGTGCTTCTCTGGCTGCCAGACGGATTGACTCCATCGATGCTCGCGCCCAGCATGATGTTCCTTGGATCGTTCCCAAATTCTGGGTGTTCGAAGTTCAACGCTTGCCACTGGCTCCCATCCTTAGGGTGACTCGTCATCTTGTCTTTTTTATTTATCTCCAGATCATTTGCGTCATCTTCTCGCTTCTTCTCCTCCCTATTCGCGTGCCAACGCAGGAGCTTTGCTACCTTAGGGTCCGCGAAATACCGCTGCAGACGAGGAGTGATCGGAAAGTACCACTCCACCTTTCGAGGAGCTTTCTTCCTCTTCTTGTATCGAGTGACGCCGCACACCGGACATATGGTAGACTCCGCGTGCTCGTCCCGATAAATGATGCAATTGTTCATGCACACATGGTATTTCACGTGCGGTAAATCCAGAGGACACACAATTTTCTTTGCCTCCTCGAAACTGGTCAGGCACTTGTTCCCCTTGGGAAGACATTCGTGCCAGAATGACATGTTCTCGTCGAAGCATGCGTCGGTCATTTTGTGTTTTACCTTCATATCCAGAGCCATGAGCGTTACTTTCAGGCGGGTATCCTCGGGCCTGCATCCTTCATACAATGGAGTAACCGCATCTATCTCCAGTTGATCCAGCTTGGCTTTCTCTCGGGCGGCAGCTCTTTCATTATCCGTCTGCTTGAGAAGCAGCTCTTGAATATGAGGGTCCTGCACCCAGCCCATCGATGGTCCATCGTCGTCTGCTCTGGCATCTTCATCTTCATGATCATGCACTTCGTCTGCTCCGGCATCTTCCTCATCATCATGTCCGGCATCTTCTACATGATGACTGTGTACTGCATCTACTTCGTGATCATGTCCTGGAGATTCTTCGTCTTCTCGCCCGCCCTTACCACGGTTGTCTTGCTGCCCTTCCTCATTTCTTGCCCGCCCCCATGGACGACTTCATAATCATCTTCATCACCTTGCCACTGATAGCCATCCATGAAACCATGCAAGAGCGGGTGGTCCCGCACCTGTACGGAATCCGGGTCCATAAGGCTCCTCAGTTTGCATCTTCGACACGGACATCTTATATCCGTCTCGTTCTTTTGAAGCATCTTGGCCTTCGCAGAGCTCAAAATCCTATTCACGATGCCTTCGGTCATCGCGCGGACCATGGTCGCCTGCGGGGTAGAGCAAAACGATATTTTAGAACCAAGAAAAAAATTTGGCATGACTTTGCCTAAAAATAGGACCAAAAAGAATGCATAGTGCCAAATTCTCGCCGAAACGGAAATGAATCAACATTCCGGCAAAATATTGGCAACTATCGCATTTCAAATACCGGTACCTGCAAACACAAACATATATGCAACACCACAAACATATTCAACACCACAAACATACATAGATCTAGCTAGGCCATAAAAAGTGCATGTGCACATTGTTGGAGGGAGAAAAAAGTAGATCTACAACATAAAGAAAGCTTTTCCCTTACCTATCAAAAAAAGGTAATTTGACCACTTAATTTAGATGAATCTATGGTGCAAATGAGGTGAGGAGGAGGAGGCAGCCGAGACAAGCTTGAAGGAGGGGATGGAGAGAATGAAGTGGGGAAAGTGAGTGTGTAGGTGACTGTCCAAAATATCTAGCTGGTCCCAGGTTACTAATGACGCACCACCTACAAATGCGCCATTAGTAACCCTGGTTACTAATGGCGCACCAGCTGGTGGTGCGCCATTAGTAGTTTTGCAAAAAAAATGATAGTAGTGGCGCACGGGGTGACTGGTGCGCCATTACTAGTTAAAACTAGTAATGGCGCACTGTGCCCTGGTGTGCCATTAGTATTTTTGGAAAAATAAAAAAATTGTTAGTAGTGGCGCACCATAGGTGTGGTGCGCCATTAGTGTCTATCACACTAATGTCGCACCAACACATGGTGCGCCACTGCTATATAGTAGTGGCGCACCACATGTCTGATGCGCCATTAGTGTCCATATTATCTATAGCCCTTTTCCTAGTAGTGCACCGAGCAGGGGACAGCCAAATACAGGAGCACGCCCAGAGGCTAAAACCCGCCAACCGTGCACCCTGTTAGATATGATCAGCAGGTTGGGACCGCATCATTAGGAGCAACATAGTTGTTTGTGAGCATGATCGGAGATGGCCGCATTCGAATGGACAAAACCTTTATGCAAGGTCATAAATCCTCTCCGGACAGGAACCGATAAGATGTGTCTCGTCCGCCATCGAAAGACAGGGACTAGAGAGCACTAGGACAAAAATGGGCTCTGGAGGCATTTTTGGTACGTGGGCCTCTGCCAGCTCCTCGTTTTGCCTCCAAGCATGTGTCGCTGATACTCGGCATAGTGGAGGCAGTTTTGAAACCACCTGCAATGATATCCCACAGCAAGCGGTTTTGGTTGACAGAGCGCTTCCAATGCTAGGATGTCCAGAGGTTGTTGTTCCGATGGAAGTGCCTCCTATACACTAACATCACAGGTGGTTGTTCCAATTGAAGTGATTCCCATACACTAACATTAAAGGCGGTTTCCTTAACAGAATTGTTCATACCTCATTTTTATTTTTATTTTGTTTTATTACATTTCAGCAGCATACCAAATACACATTCATAATATTTTCATAATGTATAAGCACATCCATCTCATAATTGCATTGCATTTCACAACTAGATTCATATATGTTCAAATGTCTAGGGGACAACATATGGAATAAAGTGCTCAAAGCTACAATGTGTATAAGCCATTGTCGAAAATGTATGCAACAAAGTGCTAAAAAGAGAGAGACGAGTTCTTTTTTTCTTTTATCATATATAGGAGTTGTACCATTGACGGAGGCGACGCGTCTTATTGGTTCTATCATCGAAGACGGCCGCATCCAAATGGACAAAGCCGTTACGCAAGGTCGCATCTTATCAGCGTCGTACATGAATGACGGAGCTATGTGTGCTTATGGGGGGCTGTGGCCAGGGGCGGAGCTTCGTAGCGTCGTACAACATTCCGTTTAGCGTGATACATCGAGCGGCATGTTAACATGGGTTCAGTTGACAGCATGATAATTAAGCAGCTTGATTTTATTCGCAGTGGCATGGTTGGGTATCATTCCTCAGTCACGGCGGCGATGATCCCGCGGTACACGGCAGGCTCAACGACGGCCGCCGCCGCCGCCGGAGTAAGAGCTACCAGCACCTTGACCGGCGCCCTGGGCTGCCTGGCTCCCACCGGACCCCGCTTTTTCAGCAGTGCCGCCCACGCCCGACTCTGCTCCTTCGCCGGCTCCTTTGGCCGCCGACCCTAACTGGTCACCGCCGCCGCTGCCGCCGCCGCCGCTAACGACCTCGCCTACGCCCTCGGCCGCCGACTTCACGGCGGCTCCCCCGCCCCGAGCAGCGGTGTCCGCGCCCGTCCCGACTCCTTCGGCCGCCTTGCGGACCTCGCCGCCGACGCCCTGGCCGTCAACAGTCATCACGACCACCATGCTGACCATCACCAGCAGCAGCGCCACCAGGACAATCCCCTTCTTCCCCATGCTCCCTCTTTCTTTCTCCAGCTAAAACGATCTATATACCGACCGATGAAGCATACATAATATCCAAGGGAGGCTATTTATACTTGCCAAGCTGCCTTGGTGCGCTCTCACTTTTCATTTTCAGGTAGCACATTGGCTACAATAATGGATATGGACCATCGTATCCTGATAACATGACCCAAAAAAGACCTAATTCCATCACTAATCTAGTGCTCCTTCCACCACAAACTTGTTCTCATCTATATATCCGTCCTGTAGCTGCAGCTACATGTATAATGTCCATCACAAAGCTCAAATATGACGGTGTATAAGCACCATCTGGTCTGACTGAGATTCATGCAACTATAAAAAAGATGCCAATGTCTGAATATTAACGGTGAAAACTAAGTCCATCACTGAGTAACTAGTGCTGCTTCCAACCAAATGTTTTTCTCGTCTATATCCCTCTTGTAGCTGCTGCTACTGCTACATGTATAATTGTTACTAACACCCATCACAAAGCAACGAGATGATGTACTAGTGCTACCTTTCTAGATGCACTACTACCTTCTCAGTGTCCATCAAAGTCGAACCCTTTTGTATTTTTCACATTTCCATGCACAATTAATTAATTAATTCGGCACTCCGACACAAGATGCTGAGGCTCCTTGCAGGCATGGACCATGATCAACAGTTTTGGTATTTCTTAGACAACCGAGAGATAACAGTTTCTAGATTGACCACAACAACCAACCGAACTGATTGATATCCTGAAGGGATAGAAAGAACTCTTCATCAAACGACTATGAATGTAACTATTTCTGAATTAACACACACAACAGTACCACAGCAATAATCAGGTGCACAAAACATGCTAAGCAGATTGATTTTATTCATGGTGCAAAGCATCAGCAACAGAATGGTGGTAGAGCAACACCACCAGCTACCAGGTCTCCTTTTCTTATCAGCAACATTCTTGCTTGCCCATACTTAAAACAGTAGCAGTCCCCCGCTACATGACTCGCTAGACTCGAACAAGACACTGTTTTCATCCGCATCTTCCAGATGCGGCTACATGTAATATCCATTGATATCGAGATCAGAAACCTCGTATGCATCATCCTTGCTTCGCCAAAATTAACCATGCGAGTAAATGACAGTGTACGTAACGCATCTCTTGCCATCATATCACCGCCCCTCGTATCTCCACCATACATATTTTGCTTTCTACAAAAATTTGTCTGGCAAAGCAAATTCCCCTTCCTTTGCCCACTGCCATGTTTTTCTACTACCTTACCTGCCCTGCATATCTAGCTAGATGGATAGATAGATAATAAATGTTACAAGTAATAAAAAAAGGTTACTGGGATGTCGTGCTGTCCTTTGGCACAAACCACAGCAAGGCAGTGCCATATGTAGTATATCATCACTGTTCGCCTGTCCCTCAACTGGCGAAACCCCGCAGGAAACCGAACCGGCTCGAACCCGAAACAGGTCTCTTGATGGTTGCTGCTGCTGCGCTTGAAGTGTTCTTTGGGGCCTCGGGGGTCGGCACTCCTTCCTTCATCGAAGTTGCCCGGTTGATCACAGCCTAGAGATTAAACAGCAAGAGCTTCAGTTGCACTCGGTTTGAATTTAACCAAGGTACACTATGTTGTAATTACTAAAAACAGCTGGTAGAATCGTACAAACATATTCTATCTACAAATGGATAGTCCAAGCTACCATGTCAAAAAGATGGCGGTGCCGGGGTCAAAGTTCCACAACATATAATACATCCACAAAGTACATTTTTCTTAAAGTTTTTCTTTTCTACAGCCCGTACAAGCTGTCACTCAAGGAGTGACATGTTTTTATTAAAAAAATCACCACATTCTGATTAACATGGAAGAGCAAACTAGAGTTAGCAGACCAAAATTAGGTTCAAAATGTAATGCTACAGATATCCAATATTCACAACTAGTAATTTCAGGCAGCGTGTCAAATCACTGTGTACAACAATCATTAGGCAGATCGCACCATCTTCTTCAAGTAGAAAGTATCAAACAGACCATAAGAAGCCCTAATGAACAAAATGCAAAGAGATGCTCTTACCCTTTTAGGTATTGCTGTAGTTCCAGCTAGCATACTCAGTCCTGATGCTGATATGGCTGTAGACGAACGCAGAACCTATACAACATTAAAATATTAGATGCAATAGACCAGGGCAAATGTGTTGTAAAAAGATATTAAATTGAAACTGACCTTAGGTGGATCTGCTCTAGGTGATTGAGCTACAGGAGACACGGGTTCTGAACCTGACGGCAACGAAGCAGTCTGTAGTAAGAGAGAGAAAAGGGTCAGCCTGTGAAGATCAAAACTATATTGAAACTGGAAAAAGGGTGAATGAAGTTACCCTAGTAATTCCTTCTGAAGACTCGATTGCAGGGAGAGGAGTTGATGCTGTGACCTGAAAAATGATTTAATTTACGAGATTAGCATTCACAGAGAACACGACATTCGAACCAACAGGCCTCATGCCATAGACGCATCATGAAAATGGCCACAATAAAATAAGCACACTATAGGGAATAAGGTACGAGATATATTCTCGGAACTTGCCTTAAGAGTATCGGCTTTCGGACTCCGATCCAATCTTTTAGTGAACTCACATAACTCATGTATTCCTCGTGTTGTGTGATCCTAAGATATTTCAGTCAAAAGGTTAGCGACACATAACCTCTACAGAAAAACAAACTGTGGGCTAGGAATTTCTACTTACTTGAGTATATGCAAGGCGTCCAAGCTTTGTCTCCTGCAAAAGGGTAAGAGATTTAGTTTGCACTTACTACTAGAAGTCCTACTCTAAGGGGAAGAGATTATATTAAACACAAAAATATAGGCATGTACAGTGCAAGCCTGAAAGGTACTACTCCACTACTTACCAGAGTGCGGACAACATGGTGAACTGATTGTATTTCCTCCTGAAAGGCACTTAGATCTCCATGTATGACTGTAACCTGTGAAATACGTATTATTTTTGCATCAGCATCTTTTAAAATACACTAAAGCCTGGAAACAACAAATATGCGGGCAAGTTCCTCAAACCTCTTTCCCTGTGGCTTCAATAATTTCGTGGCATTCATCTAGACTACAATCGACTCGGTCGATCCTTCCAGCCAAATGCTTTTTTGAAGCCTGATATCAGCAGAATGAAAAGAAATATTGTTTTTGTTAAAACAAATGAGAGTCAGCGCGAATAAAGCTAACATATAACAAAATGTTAGAAGTATGTGAGACCTATCCAAACATCGTTTCTGTTATTGTGCCTTTTCCTCTTCTGAATGCATACAAGCACCAAGTAGAATTATACAAATTTTCTATGTGCAGACACATAAAGCGAAAATATACGTCTACATCATGTGGCATAAGAAAAACAGATAAGCAACAATGTAGGAAAAATGTTTTGCCATTTAATAAAAATATTGGATGTAAATGTGTTTAGCTGTTTTAACTGAGCAATTTCTGACATGCTGTATTTCAAAGTTTAATGTACCAGTTCTAATAGAAATTGGCATAGTTTAAGTCCTAAGCTTCATCAATATGTCACTGACTGGGATGATTGATTACTTAGGTGAATCTTATAATGCAACTTTACTATAACACATTTTGTAGTGACAGCACTATGGCATCCTTGCACCTGTCATCTGGAAATGCCACGCAATCTGATAACACTATTCCACTGAATATAGGACGAAGAAACTTACATGAACACTTTCTGAAACCTGATCCAATTGTTTGCCAACTATGTTGCAGGCATCAGCCAAGCCACGCTTGGTGACAAACATCATATCAGAAATTTTCCATCCCTGTAAATTAGCAAGTTAGCTTCAGGAGAAGTGCCAATAGTGAACTTCAAACATCAGAGTAGGAACAGGACGAGCTCAGGTTGCAATCCAGGGCCACTACACTAAGAATCTAAAACAACAAGAAAGAAAAGTAGCCACCCACACAACAGTGCAACATAGCTTTATGTTGTAATTTGTTAACATATATTATCCTTGCACCAAGTTGACAGGGAGATAAATGTTTACCTTCCATCTTATGTATAAATAGCCAATGGCTCCAACAGCAATAAAAGTTAAACCATAAGCACCAGCGCCTGCAAGAGAACGGTTTTGCTTCAGCCGGTATAAAAAAAAATATGATACCAATTCAGTTCAGTGCCCAGCAAGTTAAATTAAAGTGAACAACAGCACATAGTGAGCATATTCTCTGATAGATGGGTTCACATAGGTTGATGCAAGAGGGCACATCGCATAGAAGGCGAAGAAGACATGGTTACTTGAGCTATGGACACACATGATTTGGGTACAAAAGAGAGGAAGCAGGCAGCAAACCTGGTCCGCCATTGACGTTGATAATCTGCGGGCATTGAGCCTCACGGGACAATGCTTGGAGCTGATCCCTGAGATAGTTGACCTGAAACGCAAAGTTTATCAACCAGTCGGGTCAGCGCGTGTGCTGCAGACAGCAGGCAAGCATAACAGGGATGAGACGAAGAGGCGGAAGAAGAAGACCTGAGACAACAAGAGGTCGTTCTGCGGCGAGGCGTTGGACGAGCCTTCCTTCTTGTCCTGCTTCATGAACTGGACGGCACAAACAGGGGGAGGGGGTGAGACGGTGAATATAACAGAACAGAACAGAACGGAACAGGGGATCCTCATCCAATCGACACGGGCAGCGGCCACGGATGGATGGATGGATGGATGGACACGATTGTGGCACCTTGAAGGAGAAGGAGAGCACGTCCCTGAGGTCCGGAAGCTTGCTGCCGTCGCCGCCGGTGACCATGGTTCCGATGATCCCTGCAGGCATACATACAAGCAGACACCACTCCGTCAGCTGCCTGCCTAGCTAAGCAACACGGGGAGCGGGCGGGCGGGCGAGCGGAATCGGCACGGAGCAATCAG